ACCACTAAGGAAATTGAAGCAGTCATCAAAAATCTCCCAAAAAAAAGCCCAGGGCCAGATGGCTTCCGAGGGGAATTCTACCAAACATTTGAAGAATTAATACCCATTCTCCTGAAACTGTTCCAAAAAATAGAAATGGAAGGAAAACTTCCAAACTCGTTTTATGGGGCCACCATTACCTTGATTCCCAAACCAAAGACCCCATCAAAAAGGAGAATTACAGACCAATATCCTTGATGAACATGGATGCAAAAATTCTCACCAAAATACTAGCCAACAGGATCCATCAGTATATTAAAAGGATTATTCACCATGACCAAGTGTGATTTATCCCTAGGCTGCAAGGTTGGTTCAACATCCGCAAATTAATCAACGTGATACAATACATTAATAAAAGAAAGAACAAGAATCATATGATCCTCTCAATAGATGCAGAAAAAGCATTTGACAAAGTACAGCATTCTTTCTTGATCAAAACTCTTCACAGACTAGGGATAGGGGGTACATACCTCAATATCATAAAAGCCATGTATGAAAAACCCACAGCGAATATCATTCTCAATGGGAAAAACTGAGAGCTTTCCCCCTAAGGTCAGGAACGCGGCAGGGATCTCCACTATCAACAATGCTATTCAACATAGTATTAGAAGTCCTAGCCACAGCAATCAGACAACAAAAAGAAATCAAAGGCATCCAAATCGGCAAAGAAGTCAAACTCTCACTCTTTGCAGATAATATGATACTTTATGTGGAAAACCCAAAAGACTCCACCCCAAAACTGCTAGAACTCATACAGGAATTCAGTAATATGGCAGGATATAAAATCAATGCACAGAAATCAGTGGCATTCCTATACACCAACAACAAGACAGAAGAGAGAGAAATTAAGGAGTCGATCCCATTTACAATTGCACCCAAAACCAGAAGATACTTAGGAATAAATCTAACCAAAGAGGCAAAGGATAAACTAGGCAAACTATAAAATACTCATGAAAGAAATTGAGGAAGACACAAAGAAATGGAAAAACGTTCCATGCTCATGGATTGGAAGAACAAACATTGTGAAGATGTCAATGCTACCTAGAGCAATCTACACATTCAATGCAATCCCCACCAAAATACCATCCACTTTTTTCAAAGAAATGGAACAAATAATCCTAAAATTTGTATGGAACCAGAAAAGACCCCGAATAGCCAGAGGAATGTTGAAAAAGAAAAGAAAAGCTGGCGGCATCACAATTCCGAACTTCCAGCTCTATTACAAAGCTGTCATCATCAAGACACTATGGTACTGGCACAAAAACAGACACATACATCAATGGAACAGAATCGAGAGCCCAGAAATGGACCCTCAACTCTATGGTCAATTAATCTTTGACAAAGCAGGAAAGAATGTCCAATGGTAAAAAGACAGTCTCTTCAACAAATGGTGTTGGGAAAATTGGACAGCCACATGCAGAAGAATGAAACTGGACCATTTCCTTACACCACACACAAAAATAGACTCAAAATGGTTGAAAGACCTAAATGTGAGACAGAAGTCCATCAAAATCCTAAAGGAAAACACAGGCAGCAACCTCTTTGACCTCAGCCGCAGCAACTTCTTCCTAGAAACATTGCCAAAGGCAAGGGCAGCAAGGGCAAAAATGAACTATTGGGACCTTATCAAGATAAAAAGCTTTTGCACAGCAAAAGAAACAGTCAACAAAACCAAAAGACAACCGACAGAATGGGAGAAGATATTTGCAAATGACATATCAGATAAAGGGCTAGTACCCAAAATCTATAAAGAACTTATCAAACTCAATACCCAAAGAACAAATAATCCAATCAAGAAATGGGCAGAAGACATGAACAGACATTTTTCCAAAGAAGACATCCAAAGGGCCAACAGACACATGAAAAAGTGCTCAACATCGCTCGGCATCAGGGAAATCCAAATCAAAACCTCAATGAGATACCACCTCACACCCGTCAGAATGGCTAAAATTAACAAATCAGGAAACGACAGATGTTGGCGGGGATGCGGAGAAAGGGGGACCCTCCTACACTGTCGGTGGGAATGCAAGCTGGTGCAACCACTCTGGAAAACAGTATGGAGGTTCCTCAAACAGTTGAAATTAGAGCTACCATTTGATCCAGCAATTGCACTCCTGGGTATTTACCCCAAAGATACAAATGTAGGGATCCTAAGGGGTACGTGCACCCTGAAGTTTATAGAAGCAATGTCCACAACAGCCAAACTGTGGAAAGAGCCAAGATGTCCATCGACAGATGAATGGATAAAGAAGATTTGGTGTATATATACACAATGGAATATTATGCAGCCATCAAAAGGAATGAGATCTTGCCATTTGCAACACGTGGATGGAACTGGAGGGTGTTATGCTGAGTGAAATAAGTCAATCAGAGAAAGACATGTATCCTATGACCTCACTGATATGAGGAATTCTTAATCTCAGGAAACAAACTGAGGGTTGCTGGAGTGGTGGGGGGGTGGGAGGGATGGGGTGGCTGGGTGATAGACATTGGGGAGGGTATGTGCTATGGTGAGTGCTGTGAATTGTGCAAGACTGTTGAATCACAGATCTGTACCTCTGAAACAAATAATGCAATATATGTTAAGAAAAAAAAGAAGAAGATAGCAGGAGGGGAAGAACGAAGGGTGGGAAATCGGAGGGGGATATGAACCATGAGGGACGATGGACTCTGAGAAACAAACTGAGGGTTCTAGAGGGGAGGTGGGTGGGGAGATGTGTTAGCCTGGTGATGGGTATTAAAGAGGGCACGTTCTGCGTGGAGCACTGGGTGTTATGCACAAACAATGAATCATGGAACACTACATCACAAACTAATGATGTAATGTATGGTGATTAACATAACAATAAAAAAATTAGAAAAACTTTTGAATATTGCCAAACTTTTTGTGCATTAATTGATAGAGTCATGTGAGTGTTCTTTTGTAGACTGTTAATACAGATTACATGGACTTATTTTTCCATACTGAACCAGCCTTGATTTCCAAAGCTAATCTCTTCTTTGTTAGAATGTTATTCTAACTGCAGGATTACATTTGCTAGTATTTTTGAGGGTTTTTGCATTTATGAACATGAGTTATTAGGTTGCAGTTTTTGGTTTGGGTTTGGTATTAAGGTAATGCAGGTCTCACCAAACGAGCTGGGACGAGCCTGTCCTCTCCCATTTTGTGAAAGACATTGTTCAGATATGGCCTTATTTCTTCCTGAAATGTGTTTGCAGATTTTGCCAATGAAATAATTTAGGCCTACAGATTTCTCTTCTGAAGGTTTTCAACTCTAAGTTCAATATCTTTATCAGTTATTTCATTATTCAGGTTATCTACTTCATTGTGAGTTAGTTGTGGAAGTTTGCAGTTTTCAAAAGAATCGATCTTTTTCATCTAAGTTTCTGAAGCTACGTATGGAGAGAGAGACAGAGGAGGAATAACAATGAACTCGAGATCAGGTCAGTGTACTTCAGACTCTGGTCCTCCTTCCCAACACTCCTGCTTCCATGTGCTTTCCAAGTCCTCAAACAGCGTCTCCCTGCACCCTGTCTTGGACCTGCGTGGAGCACTGGGTGTTATGCACAAACAACGAATCATGGAACACTGTATCTTGGATGTAGGGGATCTACAGCTGTTTTAACTGGGAGACAGGGTGGAGTGTGCTTACTCCATCTTACCTGGGACCAAAGCAAGGTCATTGCTATGTATGATTTTTTTTTTAATGTATTTATTTGAGAGAGAGGCAGCGTGAGTGCACAGTAAGGAGGGGCAGAGGGAGAGAGAGTCTTAAGCAGACTCCGAGCTCAGCACGGAGCCCCACACGGGGTTCAATCTCACGACCCTGAGATCACAACCTGAGCCAAAACCAAGAGTTGGACACTTAACCAACTGTACCACCCAGACTCCCCACTATGTATGTTTTTTTAAAAAACTGGACTCATATTGTACATGTTTTGTGCTTTTTTCAAAAATACCACCAACCAATGTTTTTTCTCTAAGATTATTACAAGTTTAAGGTGTACAGCATGGTGATTTGGTTTATATATACTGTGAAATGATTACCACAATAGGTTTAGTTAATATCTATCACCTTATATTGACACATTAAAAAGATAAAAACTTCGCCATGTGATAAAACGTCTTAGATCTACGGCTGACCTTGGAACAAGCAGGGATTAGGGCACTGACTCTCCATGCAGTCGAAATCCACATATAACCTTTGACTCCCCAAAAACTTGATTACTAATAAGCTACTGGTGACCTAAAACCTTAATAAGAACATGAACAATCAACATGTATCTTATGTTATTTGTATTGTGTACTGTGTTCTTACGATAAAGTAAGCTAGAGAAAAGAAAATGTTAAAATCATAAAGGAAATACACTTACAGGACTGTCCTATACTTATCAAAAAAATCCCCCTTGTAAGTCCCATGTCCACATGGTTCAAACCCACGTTGCTCGAGGGTCAAGGGTGCTCTGGTAATGACGGGCCCATACATCTCACAGCAGGACAAGCTGTCGTCACCACACTGTACATGACGGGCCCAGTGCTCACCTGTCCGCACCGGAAGTCTACCCTGTGACCACAGTCCTCCCATTCTGCCCCCCACCCGCCCCACTAACCACAAATGTGATCCCTCTTCTAGGAGTGTGGTGGGTGAGTTTTGTGTTGCTGTCTTTAGATTCCACACATAAGTGAGATCATACCACATGTCCCTCCCTGTCTGACTTACTTCACTTAGCATAACGCCTTCAAGGTCCGTCCACGTCACAGACGGTGGGACATTATGGCCTCACGGCTGCCCTGTGCTAAACAGAAGTCAGCGCCAGGAGAAGCACCAGGTGGTTTCACTGAGCGCGACAGCCCCGGCTTTCCCTAAGATGTTCTGCTCACAAGAGCCCGAACCCAGTTCACACCCCCTCCCTGGAATCTGCACTTCCACGGCCATCCCGTGTGTCCCAGCGCCCCTTACCAGCAGGCAGGTCCCCATCCACTCGGATACCAGCACGTCCACCTTCTCCGGCAGCACCACATCCTCCACCTTCTGCTGGAACACGGTGATGATGTCGGCAAAGCCATTCTGCATGACCAGCTGCCCTGTGTGCTGGGCCATCTCGCTGGCCTCCACCGCATACACCTGCACATCACAGGACCGTCAGTGTGCATCCCACCCACAAAGCAGCCTGTCATCTGCTCTCCCGGGGCCTGTGGCTCCAGCCAAGTCAGAACCAGCCTCAGAGGAAACAGGGACAGAAGGAAGGGAGTGTGCTGGACAGCAGGGACAGCAGCTGGGCCACACTGTGCGACTTTCAACAGACGGAGGGAGCCCTGACAAGGGAGCTACCCCCAATCTTAACTCCACCTTCTGCCTAACACAGACAGGGGGCTGCTGGTGCAAAGAAGCTTCTGCATGCATGCTGGGCATCCATCGCAGTGGCCCTAATGGGTCAGACCCAGTGGCCCGGCTCCCATACACACAGCCACATACCCCGTCACTGACGCCGGAGGTTCCCAGCATGGGCCTGAGAACAATCCGACACTCGGGATACCAGTGGCTGAGGCAATTTCAAGCCCAGGTTGTCAGAGGAAGGTCCTGAGTGCTATGTCTTGGTTCTGACGGCATCTGAACGCCAGTGACCACTGTCCTGCAGTTTCCCTTATGAACTAGGAGTTTCATCCACCTGTGTCAGGGGCCATCATGACCCTTCAACTCTGCAGGCCCCACACATGTTTGAAGGGAAGAGGAAGAAGGACCCCAACGTGGGTCACAGAGAGTGGTCTGTTCTGTCCCTACCAGGTGGTCCCTGCTCGGTGCAGGGATAACACTTGGACAGTGATCTACACAAGTGGCCCAGCCCCAACACAGTGATACATGTGTTTCTCTAACTGAAATAAACATTTTATAAAAAATATCCCACCACATGCAACTCACTCAGATATTTTCTATTCTACTCTGTGCTGTTTGTGACTCATTAAGCGAGATCATGACCCCTGACAGGCTCAGGATGCAAGAACGCACTGCCCGTTTCACCGACAGGATGCCTTTGCACACGGATGACACTTCACCAAGACTCAGCTCAAAGCTGCTGAAGGGGCAGCTGTGTCTTACTCACGGCTTTGGGCTGTGCATAATGTGCACAAAAGAGGCTGATAATCCCAGTTCCACAGCCAACGTCCAGAATCACTTTATCTTTCAGGGATTCTTTATTCTGCAGGATAACGTTGTGGTATTTAGTGGTTCGTGGCTGGTCTGCCAACATTTCCAAGTGAAGTTTCTAGAGGAAATGCACATTAGGAATCATTGCTTATAATCTGAGCTGTGCTGAGCTCTGGTTTAAAAAGGAAGATCAGAGAGTGAGCTAACCCCCTTGATCCCACCATACCACGCCTAAAAGCATGAGCACCAAAGAGAAAAAGACACAAAAATCGAAAGACCTAAATATGCCAGTAGATAAAAATACAACAGTGAAGGAATGAAATGGAAGTTTCCGGAATCCTTCCAGTTCAGTGTGATCCTGCCTATAACTTCTCCCTGCACCTCCCCAAGAGCCAGATGAGCAGAGAGGCAGGGGGGGACCACTCGGGAGGTGGCGCAGACATTGCCCTCCTGACCACTGTTCCCACCTGAGACAGGAGCAACCACCAAATTCCCCATCAGGTACAACTTGGCCAAGTATCCACCAAGTGAGAATGTGGACAAGCCACCAGGAGAGATGCTAGAGGAGGCACACAGACCCCACATGGAACTATAGCTCTGGGGGGACGTGACAACCCCGCTGACCCTCAGGGGGTGAGCTCAAGGCCCCCAGCCATGTCCAGAGGGAGGAAAACACATGAAACCCCAGATAACGTAACACCCCATGGGAATCATGCTACTCCCCAGAGAAACAGAGAAAGGCTCCTCCAAATGGTTCCTGAAACCACAGGTGGAAGTCAGAGCCCAGAAGGGCTGCACCCAGAGCACTGTCCCCCACGCCCCAAGCCTCAGGTCTCAAGCTGCACAAAACCCAGTGTGCACACAGCGCAGCTGCGAGGTAGCCACTGAAGCTACCCAGACCAGGTCAGCACAGACAGGAAGTCTGCAAAGGGCCTTCACGAGCCCATCGTGGCTCCGCACAGAGACACTGAGCACTGAGAAACAAAGAGATTGAGGATCAGAGTGGACACAATCAGGACTCAGCCATCCCGCCTGGAGTAGTCCACCTAAATAGAAAGTCAGAACTACGGTGCTAAGCTGTATGGTGCTGACGTCAGGGGAAGAAAGTTGGGTGGTGTCATTATCATCACCCAAAATACACTTCAGATCAAAGAATATTCCCTGCAACAAAGAGGGTGAGGTCATAGTGACACCAGAGTCACTTCAGCTAAAGGACATAATTCTAAATAGTTTTGAACCGAGTAACAAAGCTTCAAAATATACAAAGCAAAAAGCAAAAGAAATGCAACAAGAAATAGACAAATTCACAATTATGGTCAGAGACTCCAACACCCTTCTCTCAGTAACTGATAGAGAAGTAGAAAAAAAATCAGTAAGGACATAGACTTGAACAATACTATCAAAACCAACTTAATCTGATATTTATAGAACACTGCACCCAACCACTTATAATAATAATACACAAAAGAATATTTAGGAATAGGAATAGATTTAACAAGAAAGATACAGCACCCTATATGGTCAAAAACAAGGCTGAAGAAATGGGGACAGTCAGTGTGATGTTACCATCATGTCACTTCTCCCTAAATTAATGGAGACTTTCCATGCAATACCAATTAAAATGCCAGCCAATCTGGCATGGGGAAGGGTGAATAGCAAACGATAATAAAATTAGCTTCAAAAAATTAAACAGACCGGCCTAGCCATCAAAGTACTAAAAAGTAGGAGGACTGCTAGAGGCCCAGCTCTCCCAGATGTTTAAAATCTTCAATAATGAAAAGCATCTGGAATGACAGAAGAAAAGAACAGATCAATGAAACAGAGATTACAGAACTAGACCATAGAAATTTAACATACAACAAACGTGCATTTCAAGTAATCAGGAAAAGGAGGCTCACTGAATAACTGATGCTGGAACAGCTGGGTATTTGTGGGGAAATTAAGTTGTAATTTTACCTTATTCTTTACAACTAGTAAACTCCAGACTGATTTAAATATTTCATTGTTAAAAATGGGGTCACAAAAGTACTAAAAGAAAGTGTAGACATTTATAATCTTGGAGAGAAAAAGGTCTTCAAGGTAGGACACAAAACCCAGAAGTCACAAAGACAAAAAGGACAAATTAGACCACAGAAAGGTAAAACGTTCCATGGGAAAAAAGAGAGGCGAGTGGTTAAGTGTAATATGTACCATAAGCACAGGCTAACTTGCTGATTTAACATATAAATTGAGAGAAATAAAAAGAAAAATGAGCAAATTATACGAAAGTTTACCAAAAAAAGAAGAAAAAGAAAAGGCCAACAAAATATAGATGACCAATCTGACTTTAAAAAATGGAAATCAAAATTAAGAGACACCACATTTCACCTTTAAGATGAGAAATCTTTGGTTTTGGAGATGTGCGGTTGTGAAATGAGCACTCACCTACATTGGTGGCGTACAGTCAGCCAATCTTTCTGCAGACTGGCAGAATTGGCAAGACCCACCAAAGTAAAAAAAACACATACACACACCCTACACATTTATCCAACAGAAAGTCTAGCAGAAGTTTAAAGATTCCTGTAAGAGGGAACCCATTACAGCACGGCTTGTTGCGGGGCAACATAGCAAAAAGCTGTTAAATAAGCAAATCACCAATAGGGTCCTTTTAAAATCAACAAAATACTCTTTCTTAATAGTTTGAAAGCTCTAATCATGAACATACATCAGGGGCTTTTCATTTACTGTAACATGTCTAACTGTGAAACAGGACATGCCTACCTAAAAAGTGCTTACAGTTTGTCAATATAGTTGTATAGCAAGCACTCGTGCAACCACACCAGAACACGCGCCAGCACCCAAACCTTCCCACCCCAGCCTCACGGATAGGGAAGCCAGAAAAGAAAACCTCCCTTAAAATGGACAGGGGATGCCCCGGGGTGGGCAGGCTCAGCACTAGCACTCCCCCGTGGCAGACTCCAGAGGAAGCAGCCTACTTTACTAACCCAGCAGGAGGAAGATTTTCTCCCGGCCTAGCAACAGCCCAGCCAATGAGAAACTGCCACACTCAGCCAATGAGAAGCCGCCGCCCCCCTCCAAAGGGCTTCCGTTCCACACAGCCCCGCCCACTCCCGCCTCCTCTATAAAGAGCCTCCTGGCCTCGGTTCTCCAGACTGGCCCGTGGTGCCCCACAGGGCGCTTGTCTTCGGTTGCAGTTCCTCTGCTCTTCCTGAATAAGCACGTTTTGCTGGCATGACAGTTATTTAATTTTTAAGGTTGACACCATCACAGACCCCCTGGTAACAGGAACCACCATCCTGATTCTCGGAGGAACCAGCTCCCTGATCACCTGCCTCATAAACAACATCTTTTAACACTGCTTTTTAACTTGATATAACTGAACCAAAAGTTACTCTTTGATGTCTTGCTTATTTCACTCAACATTATGTCTGCAACGTTTATTCTGCATGCATCTATTTTTATCTAGCTTTAAAATATAAACAGGGGCTGTCTGGACCATAAGGTTATAGGTCTTCATTCAAATTGGGTAAAAAAAAAAACAAAAAACTAACAAGCTAGTTATTTAGAGGTATTATTTTTGACTTGTGTAACGTTTTTGTACTTAAGATAAAATGTTACTATTTTAAATGCTGAGAAAAGTTCATAATCCCATTGCTCAGATAACACCTCTAAACCGCCATGTGCCAATCCAGCCCACCACCTGCTTTTGTAGGGCCTGCAAGCAAAGAACGGCTTTTACGGTTTTTAATCGTTTTTTTTTTTTAATCAAAAGAACATGCCATGCTCACTTTTTTATGGTTTTATGGCCGCTCTTGCACTACACTGGCAGAGATGAGTAGCCACACGGCCTGTTGAGCCAAAGAAAAAGTCTGCAAACCCTGCTCTAAACCATGAAGAGAAGCAGCCCAGCTGAAGCTAACCCTAACCAGAGACAAGGAACCACCGCCTCAGGGGTTCCAGCAGTACCAGGGTTCCGTAGCTGCCGAAGTACTCCTCATCCTGCCAAGTGTCTTCAGGGTCACCCTCCTCCAGGTGCTTCCCAAGGTGGTTCGCAGGTATGTACCCACAGCAGCCTGCTCGCTCGCCCCACCACCAATCAGCAGTTGTCTGTCTCAGGATGAGAATTTTTTCTCCTCTCAAAAAGCTGAGCTGGAAAAAAACATACACAGAAGTCAAAATTCAAGAAAAACCTGTAGTTGGTATTTCAACTGTGGCTCAGTGATAGATCCCCCATCATTGGGGCCCAAATCACAGCTATTTCAAAAAGGACTCAATGGGTAATTATACAATTTCTGAAAATGATACCAAGACTTAGAGACTTTTGTGGAACATCTACATGAAAGAAAAGCACAGCTTAACTGATATTTTTTAAAGGGAAGAGTAAACATGTTTGAATGGCTTAAGGCAGAATTTCTCTACAGCCTCTTCACTGTAACTCAGTTATGTGATAGCTGATTCATTTACTGGAGTAGAAAAAGCTACATTCAAGTCAATGTTTTTTTCAAGATTTATTTATTTGAGAGAGAGAGTGTGAGTGGGAGGGAAGGGCAGGGGGGGAGGGAGAGAGAACCTCCAGCAGACTCTCCACTGAGCACTGAGCACAGAGCCTAATGCGGGACTTGATTTCACAACCCTGAGATCATGACCTGAGCTGAAATCAAGAGGCAGATGCTTCACCATCTGAGCCACCCAGGCACCCCTCAAGCCAACACTTTTATTTTATAGCCTTATTTTTCATTAACTAGACTAGGTTCTAAGTCAAGGTTTCCTAAAAGAAACTGGAGCAGGTGCTTCCTTCCCTCATTCCTTACCCACGTATCTTTCACCTCAGGCTTGGCATCACAATTTGTTAGGCTGGGAAGAGAAGGGTCCCTCACAGGTCTCATCTGGCTCTAAACATCTGAGTACTTCTTAACTTTGGTATGACTTCTTCAAAATTTCTATCTAATTCTGTCATTTAGCATGACATTTAGCCGAATCCGTAAAACACGGACCCAAGGCCCACGGCCCCTGCATGTGAGCAAGTGCGTAGGGTTACCTGCGTCTGGTCAGTGGCAGAATAGTCTGCAATGGCCACAAACTCTTCCGGGTGCACACCCTCCTGGAGATGCTCCTGGTCACCACACTCCACATGATCTTCTCCCTCCTGCTCAAAGCCAAGGAAAGAACAGGGGATGACTATGGGGCTTCTTTCCCTCTCTGTCCATCCTAATAACCAAAGGCTGCAGGTTATTAGGATGGTTTCAAATGAAGATTCATGTGACCAGGTTTAATCATACAGTTTGGGTCATCTTCACTAGCAGGATCGAGGGATCTCACCCTCACTCCACCTTTACTGTTTGTCTCTAGTACAAAATTATTTGCATCCTAAGATCATCAAATAAGAAAAGAGGCACTTTTAGTGTCTACTTGGTGACGGACCCTGATCACCAGCAACTCCTTCTGAAAGTTGTGACCAGCCCCAAGAGAAAGAAGACCTGTTTCTGGGCCTCACGCTCTTGGGACCTCGTCAGACCCAAGGACTGAGCTGGGCAGGCTCCTGGAAGGTGCTAGTGACTGGGCACGACCCTCATGGCCTGACCTGGACCACACTGCTGCTCACACAGGCTGCTCAGGACCCAGAAGGGGAGCCCGATCCCACACATTGCCCAGTCTACACTTTCCATCCAAATAGGCTTGTCTGGAAGATGTCCACTGGAGGTGGCAGAACCTCCAAACACATGTTCCAGTTCAATGAAGCAACCCCGTCCCAACATATACATTTTTAACAAAGTTTCCTAAATTTGAACATAATTCATGTTCTTTGGAAAATGTGTGAGGCACAAGTGTACACAGAGGAAAATTAAAACCATCCGTAATCTCGCCCACTGGTCAGAAATAATGATGGTTAACACATTAACATTTATATTTTTTCAGGCTTTATTTTTTTTTAAGATTTTATTTCTTCATTTGTCAGAGCAAGAGAGCACAAGCAGGGGGAGGGGCAGAGGGAGAAGCAGGCTCCCCGCTGAGCAAGGAGCCCGATGCGGGACTCAATCCCAGGACCCCGGGACCCTGACCTAAGCAGAAGGCAGACGCTTCACTGACTGAGCCACCCAGGTGTCCCTCTGGTTTATTTTTAAGATTTATTTATTTTGAGAGAGAGAAAGAGCACTCATGTGTGGGAGGAGGGGCAGAGAGAGAATTTCAAGCAGACTCCCTGCTGAGCACAGAGGCCAACGTGGGGTCGATCTCACGACCCTGAGATCATGACCTGAGCCGAAACGAAGAGTTGGATGCTCAACTGACTGAGCCACCGAGGCGTCCCCAGGCTTCTTTTAAAGTGTACATATAGCGTGTGCATCAGGGTGTTTATTGGGATCATGAAATTCTGCCTTGTGATATGTTTCCCACTTATTAAATTCTTTTTTTATTAAGTTCAATTAGCCAACATAGAGTACATCATTAGTTTTTGCTGTAGTGTTCAATGATTCATTAGTTGTGTATAACACCCACTTATTAAATTCTGACCATTTTTCCTCTTTATTAAATTACTTCTAAATACTACATGGCTAACATCTGATAGTGTTCCATTCTATGAATCGTAACTTATTTATCCAATCTCCTAGTTTTGTTCCCTTAAACTGTCCCAGTCTATACAATTACAAATTATGTTAAGACGAACTTTCTTACACATATGTCATTTTGTCTATCCATTACAATTTTCTTAGGATAAATTCCTGAATGGGAAAATGGCAGATTAAGACACCGTGTACTTTTATAACTTTTAACGTCATCACCAAATGCTCTCCAGAAAGATGGTTCCTCAGACCTACATGCGAATAATGGGAGTGATTTTCCCACACCCTGATCAACAGTGGGCATGCATCGTCACTCAAACCTCCGCCACTCTGAGGCAGAAACACTGTCTTTGTTAGTTCCATCTGTCTTTAGTCACTGGTGAGGCAGACACGTTTCTCAAGTATTTATCGCTCATCTTTCTTGTAGTTGCCCATTTGTGTCCTCTGCACATTTTCCTACTAGAGTAAGATGATTAGTTTTATGCAGTACCATCTTCTTTTCAGCTTGCCCTCCGTGCCCTGTCCCTGCTCCAGCCACATCTTCACCCTCTCACCAGCCCCTGGTCCTCACCTGGTGGATGCCTTTCCCGCCTTCTCCACACTCGAGTCACACACATGCACAGGTGTTCTTCAGATATAGTTTTTGGTGAAGGATGTCACAAACCCTTCTTTTTACATTGCTTTTTTTACTCACATAATAGCTTGTGAAAAACTCCCCAATTCTTAGAACTCTAACGTATAATTTTCAATGACTGTATAATATTCCACAGCAGGAATTCTTCCTGATTCTTCAGTCATTCTTGAGTAATGGACTTTCTCTTGGTGTCCCGTTTTCTACCACAATGCGGCCACAACATTTATACACATTTATCCTTATGTAATGACATTTTATTTCTATGAGATAGATCACCAGGGCTGAAAAATAAGCATGGTTTTCATTCACACATTTGCCAGATTCTTTCCATAAAGGGTGTAGCACTCCACACTTCACCAGCCAAGCTGAGAGTACCCTCTGATGAATACTCACCAGCAACAGGCATTATGATGGTCTTTAATTTTTGCCAGAGTGATAAGGTGTAGAGACACCAGAAAAGGTAAGTATGTGGGGAAACAAGACTATTTCTTATACTCTATAAGAAAGACTTTTAATAGTATAAGGAGATAACAATTTATTGTGGGGTTTACGACACATATAGAAGTAAAATATGATACATCAGTAGCCCAAATAGCACAAAACTGGGGGCTAGTAAATGGAACTAATTTGGAGGAGTCTTAATTGTGAAGTGGTCAAAAAAAAAAGACTGGGATATAGGTTAAAGATGCGTATCACAATTTCTTGGTAGCCGCTAAAATATTAGTGAAAGATACAGGTGAAAAGCCAACAGAGGAAATAATGTGGAATTATAAATAATATTTCATTAATCCAAAAGGAGGCAAGACTGGAGAAAGGTACCAAGAAGAAATAGAAAACAAACAGCAAGATGTTCAACTCAACCATATTAGTCACTATGTGAAATGTTAATGGACTAAATACTCCAATTAAAGAGGAGAAATTACCTGACAGTAAAAAAAAAAAAAAAATGACACACCTACAGGCTCTTTACAAGAACATTTTAAATATAAGGTCTTAGATTCAAAATATAGGTGTATGTGTACCATGCAAGCTGGTACAGCTATATTAATATAAGACAAAACAGACGCAAGGCAAGAAATAGTACCATAGGTAAAAAGAGATTTCATAAAAATAAGTCAATTAGTCTAGAAAGTAAAAAGTATCCTAAATGTATGTGCCAAATAACAGATTCAAAATATATGAAGCAAAAAGTGATAGATTCAAAAGGAAATTAAAAAAAAAAGACAAATCCACAATCATAGTAGAAATCTCTTTGAAGATTTATTTATTTATTTTAGAGGCAGAGAGCAGGTGCCTGGGCGATTGCAGGGAGGGGCAGAGGGAGAGAATCCCAAGCAGACTCCCTGCTGCTGAGCACAGAGCCTGACAGGAGGCTCGATCCCATGACCCTGAGATCATGACCTGAGCCAAAACCAAGAGTCGGACACTTAACTGACTGAGCCACCCAGGCACACCCATAGTGGAAATTTTTGAAGCTCATCTCTCTCAATAATTATACAACAAATGGGCAATAAGTCATAAAGAACACAAATATTTGAACAATACTAATAACCCATTTGACCTTAATGACATTTATAGAAAACCACCAACCACAGAAAACATATTCTTTCAGGTGCATGTGGGACATTCACCAAAACAGTCCACCTGACTAGGTCACAAAGCAGGCCTGAATAAATTTCCAAAGACTGAAATTTTACAGAGTATATTTTCTGACCAAACATAATCAAACCAAAATTAAATAACAAAAAGATGAATAAAAATTCCTAAATGTCCAGAAATAGGTAGCACACTTCTGAATAGCCCAGAAATTTTCTAATTTCCATTGTGACATATTATAAAGTATTTTAACTGATCAACAATGAAAATACAATGTATTTAACTGTGTGAGGCACAGCAAACTGATGATCAGAGGAAAAGTTATGGCTTTAAAAACATATACTAGAGAAGAAAGGTTTAAGTCAGTGATGCAAACTTCCATCACAAGATGCTATAAAAAGAGAAAATTAAACCCAAACAGAGAATAAGAGAAATAAAGATAAAAGCAGAAATCAATAAAATAGAAAGCAGATAAACAAAGAGAAAGTCAACAAAGACAAAACCAGTTCTTTGAAAAGATAAAACTGATAAAACCCCTTAAAAGATAGATCAAGAGGAAAGGAGAAACAAAACACAAACTGTATCAGGGATCTCTTTTGTAATGATGGACACAATTAACAGGATAAACACAAATATTACTGAAATACTACCATGACTAACTCACAAGTAATTGAAAAAAGTAAAATAACAAGATACCACTTCTAACTTATCAGACTGAGCAAATTTTAAAAGTCTGATGTTCTCCTACCCTACGACCCAGCAACTGCACTACTAGGTATTTACCCCAAAGATACAAATGTAGTGATCCAAAGGGGCACCTGCACCCCAATGTTTATAGCAGCAATGTCCACAACAGCCAAACTACGGAAAGAGCCCAGATGTCCATCGACACATGAATGGATAAAGAAGATGTGGTTCATATAAACAATGGAATACATATACAGTGGAATATTACCATCAAAAAAGAATAAAATCTTACCATTTGCAACAAAGCGGATGGAACTAGAGGGTATTATGCTAAGTGTAATAAGTCAATCAGAGAAAGACAAATACCATATGATTTTACTCATATGTGGAATTTAAGAAACAAAACAGAGAAACAGAGGGGAAGGGAAGGAAGAGTAAAATAAAATAAAAACAGAGAGAGAGACAAACCGTAAGAGACTCTTAACCCTAGGGAACAAACTGAGGGTTGCTGGGGGGGCGGGGGGGTGGGGCAACTGGGTGACGGGCATTAAGGAGGGCACGTGATGGAATGAGCACTGGGTGTTGTATGCAACTGATGAATCACTGACCTCTACCCCTGAAACCAATAGTATAGTATATGTTAACTAAACTGAATTTACATACTTAGAAAAAAAAGAATCTGATGCTCTCAAGTGTTAGCAAGTACTCTGTGGGCTACTGGCAGACCCACAAACAGGAGAACAATTGCTCATTACCTAGTAAAACTGAAACTATGCCACCCTTCCACCCTGCAATGCCATTACTAGGTATACACCCCAGAGCACATAAGCTCAAGGAGACGTGTAGAAGAATATTCACTGTAGCACCATTTGAAACAGAGAAAAACTGGAAACATTAAGTGTCCAACAAAAGGGAAATAAATAAAATGTGGTGTACACCTACACTACAGCAGTAAGACTGCAACAGACCTGCACACAAAGGTGACGTCCATACAAGGAGCACACTGCAGAAGCGTCCTGTAGGACTGAACTAGTTCTACACACACATCAAGGGCAAACCCCCCAAAGCAACACTCGGAAAAGGCAAGTTGCAGATGACACAGAATATGATGCCACTTAGACAAATTTTAAAAGTGCACAAAACAATACCATATACTGTTCAAAGATGCCTATATTAGGTATAAAAGCATAAAGAATGGTGCAGAAGTACAAAGATCAATTCATAATTCACAGTAGTATTTGCCTGAGGAAACAGGAAGAAGAATGGGGCTGGGCTTAGGGAGCAAACTTTACCTATGGTTCCCTTCAGAATCTGTACACCTCTGTATATACATACACATTCTAAAGCAAATACTACAAAACGTTAACAAGTTGTCACTTCTCTGTGGTATGGACTTGATGTTTACATTATTCTGTAAATATGCCAATATGTTTTAAATTTCTCAAAAGAACAGGGCATCCACAGAATTTAAAAGTTTTATGATTAATTTCAAGAAACAGATTAGTGAAATGACCCAACTATGAATCAAATTCCTATGTATAAAAACTCAAATGAAATTACAACAACCACTGGAAGGACAGAGAAAAAAAGAAATGTTAACACTGACATCACAGATATGAAAATGTTTGATTTTTTAAAAAACGTTATTTGTTAGAGTTTTCATCTGCTTTTTAATTTTATATAATCAACATTCCTTGAAATTTAGCGTCATTTTTTTTTTAATAATAGCTTCAATGAAACTAGATGTGTGTGTCCCAGGCAGAAAAAAAGTATGAATAAGTCAATCATTTCTAATGTGTCCAGCCTGGGCCTTTATTAAACAACTAAAACAGTGTACGTGCTTCAGCAGTTCAGTACCAAAGGCAGAGTCAAGGCAGGCGTTTACAACCCAATTCAGAATGTCACGTGGAACCCTTACAAACACTGCATTTCTTCCACCTACGGGGCCCACGACTGGCGGCAGAACCATGCTCTCCGCAATGTCTGTGGTCCTTACACACACATTCTTACACACCAGAGCTGAAATTACCTGCAGTTCACCTCGGGGGCAGTCACCTGATGTTGCCATGGTTCTCTTAGGGTCTGCCGCATCGCTGCCACTTTTAATACTTCATTTTCCCCTCCATTTCTACTTTTAAAAAGAGAGACAGTGAGAAAATACTTTGTTACATTCGCTTCACTTCTACGGTCCCGGTAAAGATCCTATGTCAAATGGAAGTAAAACGGGTGTTTAAAGAACGAAATAGAAATCAAATTTATAAATACAATTCTTTATAGAAACAATGGAAAGCATTTAAAATTTGAGTCCTAATAGTATGTTTTCTTCACTAGTCTGCAAAGGTGCTGATCTTATTTACTGAATGAACACTGTGAGTTTCTGTTAGATTACTGGGTTGATTTAAAACAACAAATCAATGTCAAATCTTTTCTTAGAACCCTGATAGCTCCAACTGATTCACTCCAACTGAAATTCCCTGCTGTGAAAATAAAGGAAACCTCATTTGAAATGGAGTCAGGAGGCCAGCAGGGGGAGCGCTCACCCCCACACACCGCTTACAGACCCAACAGGAGAAAGCTCATTTTACCACCATAGCAGGAGGAAGATCTCCTACCCAGGCAACAGCCCAGCCAACGGGAGACCTGCACAGCCCGGCCAGAGAGACTGTCACACTGTCACAGCTGGCCACTGGGAGACCATCACAGCGTCACAGCCCGGCTAAAGGGAGCCTGTCACAGCATCACAGCCCGGCCAGAGAGGCTGTCACAGTGTCACAGACCGGCCAATAGGGACCATCACGGCCCAGCCAATGGGAGGCTGTCATAGCGTAACAGCCCGGCCAATGGGAGGCTGTCATAGCGTAACAGCCCGGCCAATGGGAGGCTGTCATAGCGTAACAGCCCGGCCAATGGGAGACTGTCATAGTGTCACAGCCCGGCCAATGGGAGACTGTCACAGCATCACAGCCCT